TGAATCTCTCCATCATGCACTTTCATGAGAAATTAAAGTTTCCACAAGTGTATTTCGTTTTCGCATTCTTATTTATTTCTATTAATTTCCCTTCTTCTATTTTTCCTTATTAGCCTGTGCCTGTAATCCAAAGGGCAGTGAGTCACGATCTTGCCGAGCGCTGGATGGCCAATGCACATGCCGTCCTAACTACGACGGCCTACGTTGTGATCGCTGTATGCCTGGCCGCGGTGGTATTGAGGCCGGTTGCCCTGTCTGTAGCTGCAATCCTCTCGGTTCCCGTCCCGACGTCTTGCCGACCTGCGAACCTGTTACTGGTCAATGTCCATGTAAACCTGGTGTTGGTGGCAGTCTGGATTGTGGCCGCTGCCTGCCAGGCTTTTATAACATGGGCCCCAATGGATGCGAAGGTCTGATCCTCACTGTTTGGATATGGGGACTGTGGATATCATATTCTCTTAGTTTTGCAATATGAAAAGTATTTATTTGGCATGATATGAAGCAATAAGTTAAAAAATCAACTACCTCGAATTAATGTCATTCGGCTTATTTTAGTCTTGGTAAAAAATATATACGGGAGATTTAAGGATTTCGGCGCATTTTTAGAACAGTTATTTCAGCTTTCCCTCCTTTTTTATGGTCGAATTTACTTTTTTCACATATTCCATGAGTTGTTGTTTTGACGGAAGTTATCCAATGCTAGTGCCGACCAAGTGAGTAGTTTGTCGAATATCTAGAATAAGAGTTATGGTCTCTAAACCTCCGAAGATAAATTCATTTACTTAACTCTTAGGTATATTCCTCAGTTGAGGCGATATGTAGTATATTGCCCTTATTCGTTTATTATCAAAGATACGTTTGAGTTGATCCTTGATCATTCGACTTGCGGGTTTTGTCCCATTATATTTACCGAAATTTCTTAAACCAGTCAAGAAAATTAGTTTATACGAGATGAAGTGTCAGTCATTTGCTCTAATAAACCCTTCTATAAATACTCTGAAAATGAGATAGAATTTAGTTGAGCCGCAGAAATTCTGAAGAGGATTGTAGTACAACTCTAGTCTGTATTTAGCATATGCCTAGTTATTTTAATCTGTGATTTTTCACCAGTTATACTCCATGAATAAAGGAAACATACATTTTAATAAACACCAAATGCTTATTAGTTTTTATGTTTATCTTTTTTCTTTGAGCCTAGGCAGACATCCATGAATACTGACATTTTTCTGATCATTCAATCTTGCAGAAAAAATAACACAACCTTTATTTTGCTAGCACCTGAATCTCATTTTGCATTTTTATAATTAACTAGATAACTTATGGATTTTATACTCTACTTAATTTTGATATCAGTAGTAATTCTAAATATATTGATATATACCTTAACTTGCAACTATATTATGTCATTTTTGTTAGCCTATTACCCGTTTGATGTATTTCGCAGCGATATTTATTAATATAAATTGTTTAACCTTGGCCGTATTGGCAGGAAGACCTGGAGGAATGTACCTTGTGCAGGGTTCATAGTATGCATGATAATTTCCATAGTCGGACCGTGGACTTGGTACATTCCCAAACTTTTTGCCCGCCTCGTCAGTCAGCCTTGCCAGTTTTAACAACACACTACAGCTCGTCAAATATACAAGTTAAGTTGATGTTTTAACTATTTGTACGCTAAGCATCTGCGGTATCCCTCCTTCTGTCTTGTAGTATTCACTTATCCTATATCCTAGTAACACTCCTTTAATATCATGATTTCCTTCTTGCATATTTAAATGTGGTATGGTGTGCCCTTTTGAGCGGATTTCATGAGACCTATTTACGCCTTACCTTTATTCTTGGAATGTTGATGTGTGTCTGCCGTATTAGCCGGCGATCCTCTTCTCCTATGTCCTATCAAAGTCTCCCTCTTGCCCCGTAGATTCCATCTCAGCGATTTCACTCAATCACTGCCAACATTTCCGTACTACTCGGGTCATTATGCTCTAAGCTCTGCCTCAAGCCTTTGATACTATGTATACACCCGCTTCACTGAACAGGCCCAGAAATTTTGGATTCTCAAAGTGAATGTAAAACTAACTTGAAGTCGTAGATTCCCTTATCAGTAAAGGACCGAG